AACCGCTCAGCAGGGGCTTTGGACTCACGGTACCGTACTCACGGAATACCGCTTTGTAATAGTGCTCTATAATGCAGCACAATATCACCGCTTGAAGATGGATATCCAGGGCGGGTGCGGGGGAAGGGGGAGGGCGAGAGCAGCGAGTGAAGGGGTGAAACAAGGACAGGGAAATAATGATGGGGTACCTCAAAGTTTAATGCAAAAACGCATGATCGCACCGGCTCGCCTGGTGCGTTCCAGCCTGGTTTTTTTTTTTAAAAAAAAAGCGCAAAATAGAAAGAGTGTCGAATCAGCATGATAACTCTTTTCACGAACCATGCAAAAGCCGATATTTGGCAGACCAGTTTTGTTGCTTTAGCGGAACTACCATTAGACAGTTTACATTCCTGTTTTTTTTTTTTTTTTTACATTCCTAGATAATTTTGAATGCGGGAATTTATAGCAAAAATTCGTGGGACTTGCCGCAGTGTGATTCAAGCGAACAGTATAAATTTATGTGCCGGGTTTTGAGTTAAACAGTAAAATGTTATCAGGCAGTGATGTGGCGAATGCGGTTCTGGATGGTGCTGACTGTGTAATGCTGAGCGGCGAAACCGCAAAAGGACAGTACCCCGTTGAAGCGCTTTCAACGATGGCGCAGGTCTGTTTTAGGTTTATAGTCATCTTGCTTACCACGGTGAAATGATTCTCTCTCGAAAAATGGAGATGCGGGCCAGGGAGGCTGCTCATTCACACTCTTTGCGATGGACTGATGCTAACTGAAAATGAACGAATGCGGTAAAACATAAAATGGACGAATGCGACAATCTTGTTTTTTATTCCTTCTTCACGCCATTCACACCCCACTTAATTTCAAAATCGCAGCTCTTTCCTATCTTTCCTTGCGTCTTTCTCCGCCTCTTTCTATTTTCCCTTCCTTTTTCTTCAAGTACTGCTACTGTCATACTGACGAGGTCCTGTCTCAGTGTTGAGTTAAGACTTGTATGACTTAGTGGGCCGAAACGTCTTATCTCACTCTTGTCTCCTTTTCTCATTGTCTTCCTATTTTTTGTTTTCAAGTGCCTTACGGTTGCTACAATCGGCATATAATCAGGCATAGTTGTGAGGCAGAAAAATACCATGAAAGATCCGGAACGATTGTTCATGTTTTGGATGCTAAATATATTTGCAGATCTGTAAACAAGCAGAGACGGCAATCTTTTACACGAAAGCCTCGGAAGAACTGATACGGATGACGCCAACACCTACCGATGATGCACATACAATAGCTATTGCGGCCAATTCGGCGGTGCAATCCTGCCATGCGGTCGCCGTCATTTGTGTAACTGTTACCGGAAGGTTATTAGGCTTCCTTGCAAAATTTTACCGCAGTTGGGGAAGCTGGGGATCACCGATTTTTTTGACGTGCTAGAAGTTAAAGGAAAGTGTTGCCGCTGCTTAAGCTAATAGAATTGGGATTAGTGAAGAGTGCAAATTTGCCTATCCGCCATATACCCATTCCGTGATAGTACAATACGAAAACGGTCCAATCGGTGTCTACTAAAAATCAGAAATTAATACTAAGTAAATCGAATTCAATTTAAGTTAGGAAATGAGCTGAATTTGCAAAAAACAAAAAATTTCTGAGCAACGAGTCAAAATCAAAAATCAAAACCCCTTTCTTGTTTATCCTCTGTACGAGCCTGAGAGGCTGAGATTGATAAATGCTGTTAGTCTTAATGATTAACGGTTTGCGACTGCAAAGATAATTCCTTCCTAAATTTCCGCTTTTCATAGTATTTTTCAATATCTTTTACAGAGCAGCAACACTTTTATCTCGTTATCGGCCGCCAGTGCCAATTTTTGCGGTTTGTCGTGATCGAATGATCCGAAGGCAGCTTCACTTATGGCGAGGCGTTTTCCCGCTGTATTTTGAAGGTCGGCGCGCTTTTTGCATTCATACAATGATACGCCAGGCTTTGTCGTGTGTTTTTGTAAAATATGAAACAGTCAAATCGTTAACAGCACGGATGGTTGTTGCTTTACAGCCTAACATCTGGATTCAGCTATGTTTTGTTTTGGCCTTTTCTTGCATGCAGAGGGAAAAGGGCATCGGCAAGGATAGCAGTGTTACATCACGAGGCTGCGAGAAAACAAATTTAAACACACGTGAATATAAAACATCCTTGCGAAACTTCAGCTCCGCGGGTAGTTCGGTCCCCGAAATCACCACTTCGTTACAGATATTTCTGGCATCCTAAGGAGTGACGCAGGTCAAACTCCTAACTCCATTAAGGCATACGAATTCCCAGAATGACAATAAATATTCTGGCAAAATCGCAGCTGTCGTTTTCCAATTATTTTTTTTTAGGTTGGCACGGTGCCAGCTGCGAGTTTTAGCACAATCATAAGCATGAAACAAAGGTGCGCGACAAATGTGAAATTTTTAGCTCTTACATGGGCAAAGAATTTCCTGCACAGTCCAGCTTTCCAGCTACCGAGATCGTTTTCCCTCAAAAAATTTACATTTTTCTTCAAGAGGTTCGTGCGTGAGATCCGGGCACACAAGAACGATGATTTTAAAAAGGAAGGGTAAAAAATAGGCTGGGAATGTGCTTCCGAAATTTCGGCCTTCCAGTTTTTGTCGTTATTGAGTTTAATTGAGTGACAAAGTTCGCTCGGCTGGGTTTTGAGAAAGCAACCGTAGAAGCGAGCTGAACTGGTGCTGCAGTGAGTAAAGGACAAAGATTTATTTGCCTTTATACATGGGAAAAATCTGCATGAATTCTGTATTGAAATTCGACTTGGAGTGCGCTGAATTCACTGAATTTTCGAAGACTCCAAACTGATCTAGCGGTCCGAGTAACAACAAATGACAGCAACCTGCCGCCACCCCGTTTGCTCGATGGCAGATTACCCGCTTTTCCGAACATCCATACACACGGACTCTCGAGAGTACGCGTGTTTGCATTTGCACAAAATGCGAAAACACGTGAAAAGCATTTAACAGCGGCCTCAACACAAATGCACCGCAGTTAGCAGACGCAAAAGAAAGTCGAAAATTTGTTTCAAGCAGTAGCTTGAAAACGAGCTAGACGAACTGATGTGAGTTATAGCTCAAAGTACGGATTGGCGTGTGGATTTATATGATCGCATACGTTATGGAATAAAATGTGGCAAGGAACGAAAAGTAATACGCGATGGCGATTTGCTAATTATCGTCAGCGGCGCTACACAGGGTACTATTTCATTTTACAGGATGGATGAAATGAATAAAAGAACAACTTTCGTCACAAACTTGAATTCCGTTTTTTAAAGAACACCTGCAAAACTGAGAATGGCGAACTGATCTTGCCTTAAAATTGGATGAATATCCTTGAAAAACGGGGTTTTACTGCAGTGGCTTCAGCAGGGTTAGGTAGCAGAACGTCATATGTCTCGCCCTCTCAAATAACCAAAAACAACTACGTGTTGCACGAACACGGAATGGTCTGAGAGATTTTTTTATCGCTCGCGATGCATGTCTGAAAGTTTAAACAATTGCATTTCAGGATATGGTGCCACAAATGGCTTGCGCATCATCAAAGCCTAGAGGCAGAGAAGCGACGGCGATGGGAGATACATTCGCCGAATGTATTATTTCAGGGTTCTTGGATTTATGGGCATTCAATGAATCCATAGCTTTAGTGGAAATGAGCTTACGAATGGGTCTTCTTTTATTTCTACGTTATTTTTGCGTCACACTCCTCATACTGTCCACCTTCAGAATAATAATTTTCGATGGATCGCGATCTGGAATGATTGCCTAGAATATTTTACCCAGACTGCTGAATTCAGACAGCTGAAAGTCTACGCCAACAGCGAGCTTTCAATGCTTGTAGGGTTGGCTGTACATGTATTTCAGGTCATAACGAGATAAGAGGTAGTACCTGTCTCCACTCTGCACCTGCAGTAGCTTTTCCCCTTAGCCCCTAGAACATTTGTGTTTGCTACAGCACCACTTCCACAACTTATTGAAACCAGCAGCTCTTCTTGACAAAATTCGATCTTTCATGCTCTTTTCAGATCAGTTGTTTTTGCTGAGTCGCACACAGAACACTGTTTTTCTGGATGACACTTTATCAATAATTCATAAATATCATAAATAGGGAACAAAAAAAAAATTATACTGCCATTTACAAAACAGCTGCTTCTGCGGTATGTAAAATTTATTGTCTAAAGAGAGAGAGAGCGAGAGAGAACTGAAAGAACCGTTTCACGGAAAGGCAAGCGTAAAGTCGCTGTAAAAAAAAAACATAATGCGTGCACTCAAAATGCAATTGTATAACAACCTAAAACATTAGTTCTTATAAAGCCATTTTGCAAATATTACAAGTAAACAGAGAGTAACACAGTTCATAAGTTTGCATTAAAAAAAAAAAAAAACAGGACGAGGAGCTGATGGCCTGAACACGGTAAGTCTTAAAAACTGAGGACAATCACGGACTTTTTTCTTCATTTATAGCATCACTAGTGATTTATGCAGTGCTGTTTTCCGGGCTCTAGTTATCTGGTAGGGGCTGTAATTAAGGGCCAAACAACGACAGATCAAGACTTACCAATTACAAACTATCAGTGACGGTAAAAATTCACGGACAGTGATAACACAGAAAACGATTTCCGCTAAAAAAATTAAATGCGGACATGCATTTTCGTTTGAATTGGTATAGCTGCATGTAGAAGCATACCCAACAACATGGACCGGAATGGGGCCTACAGTTCACCGAACAAAGAGGACGACGCATGACAGCTT